GACTTATAAGACTTCATGATGACATAGTAGCAATTAGAAATGATTCAGAATATCCACAGTTATACAGCAAAGCTTGCCAAGCAAGCTAATCGATTCAGCACCTTTACACAAGAAACAGTAAAGGAACAAACTAACGAATATACACGAACAACTCGCATACAACCAACAGACCAATGGCTGCTTCAATATTCGGCTAAAAATAGCTATAAACTACGGCAAAAGCGAACAACAACGCTATCCCCAATGCCAAATATGACCTATCCTGAAGGAATACCTTGTCAAACTTATTACCCACGCGCATGAAAATCGTCCCACTCTTTATCACACTCATCAGCTCAAGCACCACACAATGAACTACCCAGCTGGAACGAACGGGCGGCTGCTGGAAACTACCAACAAAACCATGTTCACAAATCTGCCAATCAAAGCAACATCATAAGGGACTGCCTCGGACTGCAATACAAGAAGACAGAAATAAAGTATTGCCTCCAGGTCTATTATTAAAAAAAAGAAATAGCCACAATCCATCATCATACGAGCAACACAAGTCAAAAAAAAAAAAAAAAAAAAAAAAGGAAGGAGTGACCAGAACAGATGAACATCAGCCCTTATTATTAGTATAGCAGACAACAATTAACGCCGATGGGTTTTGGCAACCAAACATCACTTGCCAGCAGCTCATATAATTGCTACCCACGAGAAACAACCAAGCCTGCAAAGTATGCCAGTTCAAAGGAATCAGCATACAGAACCTAGAACCCCACAAGTACATCCGAGCCCGTCTAGCCACAATAGCAACAACATTGATCAAGCATACTGTAATTGAGTTGCCCTCACATTAAAACACTATTGGCACCTTCGAGCACCCAATTACACCATGCTAACACCGTAATAAGGGAATACTTTGCACCAGAATGACAAGAAACTAAAACCAATTTTAACCCCAAGCAAACACGAACAAATATGAAACAGTCCAAAATAAATAAACATAAGCATTCATATACTTCAACAAGATGCCAAACAACTATACACGAACGACCCTACTGAGCAATAACTAGCCAACCAACCAAGGTCCGGTCAAGTAATAACAACACAAACGTATACCAAAGCGAGTCAAGCAACGACGTCTCGCCATACAACACTCCAATCAACACATAGGCCAATGACAGATCAGGATATCTAATCATTGGAACAGTCTCCTGATTCTGCCATTTTCCTATTTAACAGCCGGCCTTTCGAGCAGGCGGGAAACCACCGGCTGATGCTGCTTCTCACTCATTCTACTGTTACGATGATACCCGGCGCAATCTCACTTGCTAATTTTTCCGGGAGCATATCATCGTTTCAGTTCAAATTACTCAGCTCAAATCACTCAGCTCAAATTACGCAGCTCAAATTACTCACAATGTAGGGATAGGAATCGACTTAGTCGAATAAAAAATTTATATGTAAATTACTATGTTTAGTCGATTTAGTCGACTAAATCATATAGCCGATTCCTATCCCTATCACAATGTATCTGCGGACTTAAAGTCCTTTAATTGAATTTATTTCCGGCAACTTTGGCTTGCCGGCATTAGTCCAATCACATGACCACTCGTACCTATGCTTTTCGAAAATTTTATATATTTTCAACTATATATGGGGGCTTTTCAATAGAAAGGTGGGAGATTTTTTCCCCTTTTCTATTAAAAAGCGCCCATATTACGAACAATATTTTTAAATTAATATTTAAAGAGTACACCAAGAAATTATAAATTAGTTTTAAAGGATAATTTAACACTTACCAGAGGTGGAATTTACTGGCTATGTTGCCTTTTAAAAATAGTATTAATAACTAATATTTGGTACGTATACTAAGTAAAATATTCAACACTCTAAAAAACCCTAATCTCTACATCAATTTAAGCTTAACCCTAATCCAAAGTTTCTTTTAGCTTCAAAATTTGTGGCAAAATTTTTTATAGATAAGAATATATAGATGTGTATTAGCGACACTCATATAATAATAATAAAACATATAATGGTGAATTTCACTTTCCTGTGAATACTAAATAAATTCTTACAAAATTATTTTTTACCTTAATTTATATTGTTTATTAATAATAATTGTGAGAGCAATGTGAGGTCTGATACAACTTAAGGCGATAAATACGGTTTGTTGACTTTTGATTACTAATCAAAAATTATCAAATTGGACCAAACCTCACGTTGTTCTCCCACAATAAGATATCAATTTGGTCTTACTGTATTTTCTGGATATTTTCCAATTTATTTAGCCGTTATATTTTATTTGATAGTTTATATTTTTGTATTACGTCGTGGGCTGCCACATTTCCCATTTATCCAATTTATCCAATTTATTTAGAAAGTCTTTCGACGTGCACTAACTCTTTATTTATTCTGAAAGTATATTGTTAAAATAAAGTACATTAACATTATTAATTTAGCATGAGTATAAATATCTTTTATTAATTAAAATATATAGTTTACAAATATTATACAAATTTATAAAGATTATCAATCGATGTATTTAAAGGTATTTAATTAGCATTTATAATATCAAAAGGCTAGAGTATTGTGCACACCACAATGTTAAAAAAAGATTTGGTTTATCCTGTTTTTGTCAGCAATATTCAAAAAATGTTCGGAAAGGAGTCGCTATAGGGATAAAACAGGATAAAACTAATATAGTTTTTATACCTATAGCGACCCCTTTCCGAGCATTTTTTAAATATTGCTGACAAAAACAGGATAAAACCAAGCATACTTTTTTATAGGGTGAGAGAATCGAAGAATCTGTAGATTTTAAGAATTTTACTGATTTCAAATAAATATAAATATAACGGACCCAAAATATGATAAATAGACAATCTAAAATCCTTAAATTTCATTAAACAAAAATTATGAGTCACATCTTTTTCAAAGGCCATAAGTTGCTAATGCTAACAAGTGCATTGCTGTATTGTAAATATGAATCCGTATTTAGAATCGTGGCTATGTAATAACCATGCAATGTAGTAACATGTGAAAAATTATATTGCTTTGCAAAAAGATGTGGCACAATGTCATGTGGGCATTCGATTTTAAGAATTTTATCGATTTCGAACAAAAAAACGTAATTGATTGAAATATACAATCTAAAATCTCAGAAATTTTCCCCAACCATCATCACAAAAATCATGTGGCCACATCTTTTTGCAAAGCCTATAACATTGTGTAACGGCTATGATCAAGTTCTGCGAACTAACCCCATTTATTTTCAGGTAAGACATACACTTCGTGATCTTTTCGCTACCGATTAAGAATAACATGAGTCGATTTTTAATATCATATATGTCAAACTAATTCAAGTCCATTAAAAAATCACTTAATATATTTTAAAATTCGATTTATATATAAATAAATAAATATATGTAATATACAGTATGTATAGTTCACTATATTAAATATTCATATCGTTTAACATTCACAAATTAAAAAAAGTATCGTTTTAAGTTCACAAAAAAAAATTCGTTTAAAATCTTTTGATTAAATACTCTTTTGATATTGAGAAAAATACTTCTCAACTAAAATAAAGTTGATTAAATAAATCTCGCTAAATAGGTTTCAAAAAAAAACTTTTTTTTAATTAGATTTAATATACAGTAGATCAGTCTTGAAGTTCTTTAAGAAAAGGTGAGTTCGTTAAATAATTTTATGCTAAAAACTTTAGAAATCGATATTTCCATGCCAACATCGATCCTCCCACAGCCTCTGCACTTGTTCCTTGATAATAGAATTTCAAAGTTATAGCGTAAATGTAAAGTAGACTGATGTGACTAGGATTGGAATAACTTGCCTGATAATTATAAGATATTGGTCATGCAACGATTAATATCATGAAATTTGTTTTGTCGGAGCAAATGATTGGTTGACATG